AGAAGAAGAAGAAGAAGAAGAAGAAGAAGAAGAAGAAGAAGAAGAAGAAGAAGAAGAAGAAGAAGAAGAAGAAGAAGAAGAAGCAGAAATTCTTTTCTTATGGTTTATGTAGATTTGCACCCAGGTATCCACATTCACGTGGGTTTGGGTTTTTTGTTGTGGTGGTTGTTGTTTTTGTTTTTGTTTGTTTGGGGGTTTGACATTTTGCCTATTTCTGGATTGCCATGTACTGTGTCAAGGCACTGTTCTTTATCATAACAAATGTGGCAAATATATATTTCAGGTCTCAAGTTTCAAGTTATCTAACAGTACAGTACATGTATACACACACAGGAAACAAAGGAATAATCTAAAGCATTTTCTTATATTTGTGGAGCTTTCTCGACTAGGAAAAAGAATGTGGCTGAAAAAACGAGGAGACATGAAAATGACATGTTTTTGAATGTCTTAGACAATCATAAGAACATTGTATTTGAAGTTTCAGCTAAAACTGGTTAGCTTGAGCTATGATAGGAAGAAAACACTTTCCCTTGGAGTTATTCTAATAAATATTTCTGAAAGAAAATGATCCCAGCCTTCTCATTCACTCATGCCTGAAGCACTCCCCACAGCTCAGGGCTGAGACATACTGATGGTTTCTACCCTGCTTGGTCCCCTGTGTTGTGGACGTGTGTGAGTCAGGTATGAGCTGTGCCCCTGACTGGCTGGAAGGAAGAGGGCAGCGTCTTCTCTGCTCTTGCAAAACCCTCCTTGGAACCCAAGGGCAAAATAAGTCAGTCTTTAAAACCAGGGGGAAAGTCCTCATCCTTTAGATGGAAAAATTTATCATATTTAGAGCCATTTCCTAGTTCTGCACAAGACATGTGACTACAAGATGTAAACATTCTACTAAAGATTTACTGACTTCCCCACCTCTGCAATTCAAGGACAGAGCTGTCTTTGGTTCTTTAAACCTTTATTTCATATGTTCATCTGATGTATTTTCACATCTGACCATCCTGTGCTTCAATACACTATTTAAAATCAACCTGATTCTGTCATTCTGAAGGAAAAGCTTACATCTTTAAAGAAGTTACCCCTCTCCTCCTTTTTAAAGTGTTAGCTGCCTGACAGGCTCTGGTTAGACTTTCAGATTTTTTTTTCTAGCAAATCAGTATGTGTATATGCATATAAGTGCTCAGAAATCAGTATATATGCAGTTTTGTCATCATCAATCAGGAAATCAACTGCAAATAAAACTCATTTAATGAGAAATTATTCCCAAATATAATAAAATGAAGAACTACGAACCTTTGTGTGTCCTAAGGCACAAAGGTGGAAAGTTACAGGAGCAGTCATACAAAAGAGCAGGTGTCTGTAAGTTCTCTGGGGGGAAAGACTGTATCATATGCTCCCTTGGATTCCCTAAGTCAAAAACAAGGCTATGAACTTAACAAGTAGCTCTTTACACCCTTTGTTCACCAGGAAAATTATAAGTGCATGTTAATACAAAGTCAAATCAATTTGAGATGATGTCCAAGTCAGATAGATATACTGCCTAACTTTGATCCCAAGCTTCTTAGGCCTGATAGAATGGAAGCATATACCCACTGATAACAGAGAGGATATAGTTTACATTTTACCCTATTTCATCCCAGGGGGGATATGTTAACTTCAAATAGTCTACAGAATTGCACTTTCAGATCCTCAAATGGATGAAACAGCATCTTGTGACTATAAAACTATGTTATCTCCAGTAAACTGAGCCATATTTCACAGCCAGATTACAAATACATCTCAGTAAAATGCTCAAAGAGGCACATTCCAGTCATTGGAGGCTTCTTCAAATAAGATAGTACATCTAGCCCATGTGAGCAACTTTCCCTGAGCAACAACACATCAATTGTGACAAAAGCCTCAACTTGATGTTTAAATAACGCATTTACTTATTTCTGCCTCTCCCAGGATAACATTTCCTAGAAATGAATATGATTCCCAACTTAGCTATCCAGCTATTCATCATTTGAAATGAATCTAAGGAAAAAATAGTTAAAATAAGATTTGAGGCAATTGCTTTTCTAAATATGTACTCTGTATTTGGTTTTGCTCATTGTAAATTCAGTACAGCGGTTTAGTGCATTAGAAAGAATTATTGGGTCTGCTGCCACATAACAATTTAGTGTGGAAGAACATAGGCATCAGGTCTTTCTTACAATGTACGATTTTCACGATAGAGAAATCCGTTTCTGCCACAATATGTCAGTTTATCCTAAATTATTTGTGTTTAATGACAAAAGCTTTATGTAAATTTGCAAATGATCGCGTTTCTCCCCATTTCTAAGCCTTAGGGATGCTTCCCCCTGAGTTATAAGAACAAATAGCTCTCTTTAAATTGCTTCAAATCTCCACCTGAAACTAGGCATCTGTTGTTACTGAACAAGAAGAGCTAAATATTTTCACATTCCGTTACTTATGAGATGGTCACCTAGCTAAACGGAGTTGCTGTTCTGAAGGGTTTGGAACCTTCTGAGATTTAACTAATTCCTGGGAGACCACTAGGGGTCAGTGCCAGGCTAATTTAACAATGAGAAATCTTGCACGTTTACAGGAAAGAACCTCAAGTGGGGCGGAGGGAGTGAGAAGGAGCAAAAATCCAGTTTCTTAGTCAATGGTCAATTATCCAAACAGGATCGGTCTACCCTAGGCTGAATCCTCTCACCTCTGAAGGACTTTACTTCACTCCAACTTCAGATAAATTACCTATGCCTTTTCCAAAAATACCAGCCTGAATAATTTGATGAATATGTACAAAGAGGTAGAAACTAATCTAGGAACGTCCCCTTGAAAGGAACTTAACCTCTGGCAAGCACTAACTGATCTCTGTCAAGTTACACAGGTTCTTTGACAGTGTTTGGATCATGACCACATTTTGTGTACACGTTTTTAAAAACTCATATGAATTTATTTGGATCCCATTAATGCTGTTCTTCATGAAGCTTTACCTTTCAGCAGAAATGGCAATAGAAAAACCTAAAGAATGTTAAAAAAAAAAAAACCAATGAGTTTAAAATGTAGGTGACTTGTATGTTCTATATTTTAATATGTTTTAAACTTGCTGACCCACCCGCCCCACCCCTGCCCCATCGGACTGTGTGGCAAGCTGACATTATAATCATAAACATTTTTTTTAATGAGGGTGATTTTGCTTAGATTACTTTAGACCAATTCCTCCAGGCAATCTTCACCTAATCTTAAAGAAATGTGTACTATTCGTCTGTGCCTCTGGGGACATCTTGGAAAGGGTGTAAGCTTTAAGAAGCGGCAGTGGACTGAGCAGCCTGGGCCACTTTTGTGCTGTCCAGGAACAAGACAATGTAATCAGGGACTGGGCAACCCTACGGAACAAACACAGAATCTAAAGAGCTTTTTTCCTTCTCTGTTTGTCTTCAGATGAGTAAAAACTAAGAGAAGCTAAAGTCTATATTTCTGAAAGCTCTCAGATCCACCTAACATAAAGATCCAAGGCAAAACCAAATTTAGCTAATTAGATTAAATAAAACAAGCAAACAGCCGAGCTTGCCCCCAGTTTAACTAGAAATCCCCACCCCTCTGGATTCTATGGGGTGCCAGCATCATTCTCTCTCCCACTAGTTGTATAAAATCCCATTTCCCTTCCTCCTCCTCCCATTCTGGGCTTCCCCTCCCCTCTTCACTCCCCTCCTCTCTCCTCCTCTCCTCTCTCAGTAGGACAGTCAGGTCTTGGTGAGTGGCTGGAAATTCCAATGTCATCTTCTATTAATAAAGAACAATTAGTGTTCTGCCTGTCTTGCCTTGAGGACCATGCATCAAAGAAGATGGAGTGTGCACTGGGCAATTGGACCCTAGGCAAAGCCCTGTCCCAGCTTAGCAGCCCACCCCCACCCCCACCCCTGGGCAGGGTGCAGCCAGGCAAAGCCGCTAATGCCCTTGGCCAACCACTGGGCTCCACTTGCCGGTCTGACACAGACCCGCCCTTAGCCTCTGTGTTGGCCCTTTTCCCTTGGTCCAGCCTCTGCCCAGATGTGAATTCGGTAAAGACAGATGTGGCCTCCTTATGCTGTGTGTCCCTTTTCTCTCTGAGACACCATCTCTTTGTGACTAGAACAGATTCCTCTAAATGTGGGAAAGAATCCAGGAAACAGCCTAGCATAGCGCTTGGGAAGCATTCCTGCTCCCAGGTCCACCTGAAAAAAACGATGGAGTCCCAGCAGGATTCTCAGTTCAGATGTTCACTTGGTCTATGACCTAGGGCAGATCATTTAACTAAGATATTGTTCCACTATCATTGAACTACAAGACATACGCCATACCAGACACTGAAAACTGGAAGGTGATAAATACTGGATGCTCACACTTCGCTAGTGCGTCTCTTCCAGTACTCCAAGTATCCCTGTGTGCAGAGTGCCCAAATCAGTTTGGGTCAGGGCATAGGAAATCAGAGCAGTCCAGTTCCTTGGGCTCCCCGAAACCAGCCTGGGTTTTCTGGAACCCCTTCCCACTCTGTGCTTACTCTAAGAGCTCCTGTCTTCGGGGTCTGCCAACAATCTGACCCTCGAGGATGGGAGGTGGGGACAGGCTAGCGACAATAAGAAACCGGTGCATGGGTGTGAAGCAGATTGAGAAATGATAGGTGTATCCTCCAAAGCAAGGAAGTCTTTGGGGGCTGTTGCCTGCAGTTTGTTTTGAATTGAGAGAAGGCTAGCAGAGGGCAGACGGAGCAGCCTGAGAGAGCACTGAGCCACCCTGGTGGACTTGACCAGGGGATCCCTCTGGTTGTCTGAGGTCTAGAGGATCTGATGATCTCTCAGGCACGGAGTGAGGAGGCTGGGTGAATACCCTGACCCTGTAGAGAAACAGCTGTCTCAGCTGTACAGAGTGAGACCCACCCTACAGTTGCTCCTCGCCAAAATCAGAGCTTCAGTTTTTCAATACCCTTGCCAACCATGTTGCTGATTAACTTTGGGCTGGTGACCACAGCCTCTGCCCCCTCCAGACAGAGTGGAGCTGGGCTCTGAAGTCTTTCTTTTCCCCCATTAACTATTTAGGAAAACCTCCTCCAGGATCTATAATTTGGCTCCAACAAAGGAATTGCCCTGGGGCTGTTTTGCTCCAACTGAGAGCCAGAAACTAATGGGCTCATTAACTAATGGGCAACAAGGATTTGGCTTTGCCTGTTTGGGGGAAGTCACTTCAGCCCCATGGTTATAATTTTTTTTTTTCCTCCACAAGCTCAATAACCAATAACCCATCCTCTCTCCCCTTCCATCTCCTTTACTCCGTTCTCCTTTCTCTTCCTCAGAAGGAGAGAGAGTTGTGATGGAAACAGGGTCATGTTAGGCAAGGCACTTGTCTTGGCCAAGGGGTCTCAGAAGAACCGGCTCTGCCAAATCCTCCAGCAGTGTGAGATCTGAGCTGTCGGGGTGGGTAAGGTTAGGGGACCCACCTGAGTTGTAATTCACGATATCCACTCCCAGGGCTGGGCTCTTCCGCTTCCGGGGCCGCCCCTTCTGCACGGTGCCAGTGCCATTGAAGTAAGGCAAAGCCAAGCCTCCGCTCTTGGCCGCCAGCTCCGTGTAGCTCAGTTGAGGTGCGTACTCCCCTTGCAAGAGGGTCTCGAAGTGTGCGCGGCAGTACACCAGGCTGTCCTTCATACCGAAATGGTCGCCTGTGGTCAAGGTCTTGTTGCAAGTGGAGCAGGTAAAGCAGCTCAGGTGATAGACAGAGTCTCGGGCGCGCATGACCATCTCAGAGGCGGAAATGCCAAGGTGGCAGCGGGCACATCTCTGCACAGAGAACCTTCTGAAAGCAAACAGGAGAGTCAGGGCGCCAGCTGGTGCCAGGAGGACCCATCTCCCACTCACAGCGCCAGGGCTTAGTCTGCAGGGGCCCAAGACTTGACTGGGGAGTGCTGGCTGAGGGCCATTTTGGATATCAGCTTTATTTGCCCAGTGACCTATGCTGGTTCTGGTGAACCAGAACAAACGCATCCTTACGGGAAAGTCAAAAGAACTAGGAACTTAATAGCTTCGACGTATTTTTAAAAAACCGGCAAAACTCTGAACTGGCCCAACTCGCTATTGAAAGAATATTAAGTTACAACGCCAAGTGAGAAGCCTGGCATTACCGATAACGGAATAGTACCACTCTTGGACGTATGAGTGCGCCTGGCTATCCCAGAAAACGGGAATTCTGCAGAAGAAAGGCTATTCTTTCGGCTCCCCTCCTGCTTCTGCTCAGAGGGCAGCTAGGTCACTTCCACATGCTCAAATCTTTCCCAAGCTGCTGGTTTTATTGTTGTTGTTTGCTTGGGTTTTTTTGTTTGTTTGTTTGTTTTGTTTTGTTTTGTTGGGTTTTGTTTCCTTCAGTCTGGTTCTGGCTAGCCATTCGGGGAGCAGTAGCCTGTACATAGCCATGAACTATGTCATCCACTTGGTTGCTGCTGCCCGGGCCAATAATAGGCAAGTTGACCAATTCACATCAAGGGGGACCAACAGGACAAAAGTCTTGTTTGCCAGAGACCTGTCCACTGGCTCTTCTCCCAGATTTCTCAGCCGAGTTGTGTAGCTGGGAAGAGCTAGTGACCCTCATAAAGCTCTCTGCTGCCTGGGATCCTTCTTGCCCATCCTCACCCATGGCGTGCACACAGCTTTCAGGAAGGCATATGTAAAGAATTTCCCCCATCTCAGAAATAACTGTACCCTGGACGGGCAAAACAAAACAAAAAACAAACAAAAGAACAAAACAAACAAACAAAACAAAACGGGCATCATAGAGAGGCGACTCGGGATTCCCCGCAGGTGGCTCCAACCAGGTGTATTGGGTCAGAGGAGTGTGTGACTGGGGGGCGGGGTGGGAGTACCTGTAGTAATCCTCCTTGCAGTAAATGCTGCCGTCCTTGGCAAAGCAGGTGAGCTCAGACTCCAGGGCCAGCTTACATTCACAGCACTTCAGGCACCGCAGGTGCCACTGCTTGTCGACCGCCAGTAGATAATACCTGTCGGAGATCTTGCCCCCGCAGCCGGCGCACAGAGCGGGCTTCTCCGGGCTGAGCGGAGGCATGCCCTGTGAAGCAAGCACAAGTCAAGGCTGATGGGACGCGAGGCGCGGGGCGCTGCCGCACAACCCGGGACGCCTTTGGCAGAACGAGTCCCCCCCAGCACAGGAGCGCATCATACCAGGGGCCACCGCACCCAAAATCAAGAGTCGGGGAAACATGCCTAATTTCTCCGCTTGCAACGACCAGTTAGTTCTTCTTAGGGGTTTGCTTGGACCAGCGTCCCGGTCCTCCTGGCCCAGGGACCCTAGCACCCGGACATGTAGAGCCTAGAGAATGGTTTGATGAGTGTCCCGGAATTAGAATAACGAAGGCTAAAAATCTGTGACTTTCAAACAATACACAAAATAAAACAACAGAGCCGTGGTTGAGAAGTAAAAAGAATTCTGAAGTACACGAGTTTTTTTTTTTTTACACAAACAATACTATAATTCTATTTTTCTGAATTTTAATAGGCGGAGTAATTTGGCCGGCATTGTTGTGATTCAGACAAGCTTAGCAGATGTTGCTATTCTGTAAGTTCAAGGCCGTCGCCCTGTTCCCATAAGGAAGTGAAGTGTCTGTCCCGAAGGAAGGACCCCCATCCAGTCTTGTCTGTACACTCGCTCTTTTCTCTAGCAAGCATAAACAACACAGATCTTTCTCTTGAAAATGTGATTCCCAAATGAAGCTTTCCACCTAGGTCCCAACTGAGGCTAGCTAAGTCCGTAAAACGCACTCTGAGGATCCCAGTCGAATCTGGTGGCTGTTTTTTTATTTTTAAATAAAATAGCCGCGAAAGATGAAAAGAAGTTACTCGCTGGATCCTTTCCTCAGACTAGCAGAAACAATCCGGGCTTCCCCTACTACAACTTGGCCACACGGGAAAGTTAAATTTCGCCTTTTACTCAGATAATGGATTCTCACTGAATTAATGGTACGAAGGGCCATAGTGGGTTATTTAAGGAGACCCAAAACCTCGCTGAGTGGCTAGAACCATCTCGGGTCAGGTTGAGCTGCAGTCCCTTCCCGCAGTGACAAGAAAGGTTTACACAGTACTGTTCATCAGGAATCATTTCTGCAGACTTCTGTAGTTTTCTCCTTCCAGTCCATAAGTGGAGAGGGGGAAATGCTTAGATTACTATTGATTTCACGAAGACATAACTGCTGTTACGAATAGTAACCGGCAGTGGTAGCTGATTGCTTCTCTTGGGTTTGCAGAGTTCGTGTTCTTGCTTTTAGACTAGGGGGCCCGCTCCTTCTCATTTTTATTCGATTTCCCGCTACCCAAGACACCCTCCCCATAAGAAAGAGAAACGCAATTTTGTGACCAGGGTAGCTGAGCCCGCATGCCAGAGGCCCTAACAATCTCTAGATTCGGGTGCTGAGTTCCGAGCGTTCGAAGGATTGGAAACCGACCAGTGCGTCTGGGTCTTCCTCCATCCCAGAGACTGGAGTCCCAGGGGTTCAGCCTGTCCCGGACGCCGTGCCGGCAAACGGTCCCCTAGTACCTGGCTGCACCAAAGGCTTGCCCTCCAGGCGGCGGATCCGGCCTTGCGGCCGAGTCACCAGAGACCAGAGTTTGGTTCTGGCAAGGAGCAAGCCCGCTCCTTCCAAGGCCCGCTGCCCTGCGCGCTCGCGATCAGCCGCTACAAAGACCGGTGAACTCAGAACCGCAGCATCCCAGACACCTCGGTTCGGAAAGGGACCCTTGCCTAGCAAAGCAGAACTCTCGAGAAAACCTAGCGAGCGTCCCCAGGAAGATGTCCCCGGGACCCGCCATCCCCAAACCTGGGCAGGCCGGAGACTCTCAGTTTCTCCAGCGCCGCACCGGGGCCGGTCCTTACCGCGTCGCGGCCGTTGAGCTGAGTGCCTTTGGCCAGACGGGCCTCGGTCTTGGATCTGCGCTCCATCTCCTCCATGATGCCTTGGATGTGGCCTCCGGAGATCCCGTGGAAGAGCATGGCTGGGGGGCGGAAAGGACACGAATTGTTTTCGGCTCGGCACCCCACTATTTCCATAAACACGCGCCTAGGGCTCTCAGTTCATCCGCGTGAAGAAGCAAAGAGGACCCGCCACAGGGCTGCGCGGTGAAGGAGCGGAGAGACGCGTGGGGACAGGGGCAAGAGAGGAAAGAAGAAAACGACAAACGACAGAGTGGAAATAGATCTATTGAAGAGGGAAAGAACTCTAGTCCAAAAAAAAAAAAAAAAAAAAAAGCGACGGGGAAAGGAGGGAAAAAAGGTCCGGCGCTTCCCAGAAGGAGATGTGCAGAAAACAAACAAACGCGGACGGAGAGGAAAGCAGGAGAATCTTACTGCAGTGAGAGCTCGAATTACTAATGAAAAACAACTGCCGCGGGGTTGGGGGGGAGCGGGGGGGGGAGGAAAACAAAATCTGAGGAAGAAAGAAAAATAGTTTTGAACACAAAGAAAGAAAACGAAGTGTTATATCCAGCGTCCCCGGCTGCCGGCAAGTTCCCAGTGCCTGTAGGTTGGGTTGGGACTGCTCCTGCCGGAGCTGTGTCCAATTTGTTAAGAGACTAAAGCCAGCCCATTTTTGATAATTTAGTAGGAGGAGTCCTCTCCCTGGAGCTGCCACGGATTTTTATTCAGACAACAAAGACCTGTCATACCCCTCTCAACCCCCTGGTGATGGGCAAGCAGGGACAAACATTTCAAAGGGGTGGGGGACTGCAGGGGGAGGCAGAAGGAGGGGGCCCTTACCCCCCACCCTCCACCCCCACACGCGCGCCTGCACACACACACACACACACACACACACACACACACACACACACACACACCCTTCCAAGAGTTCTCGACAGTCCTGTTTTTAAAAGGGTAAAGGAGCCCTTATTGTCCAAGTCCTGGATGGAGCAGGCGGCAGAGCCCGGCTCATTTGATCCCAGTTCATCAGACCCCAGCCCAGCGAACACAGAAGATGAGCTGCAAACCTTAAGTTTCCTTCTTCTAGGCAGACTTTTTTAAACACCCCCCACACACACACACACACACACACACTGCGAGTTCACGAGGCTGTCACCAGGAAGATATCAAACCCGCAGTCTTACGGGCACCGCACGGAAACCGTGCCTGTAATGCCTGCCCCTTTCCTCTCCGTCCCTTCTTTCTCAACTCACTTTTTAAAGCACTCTTCTGACGGTGGTCTACTCGCCTCACCTCTCCGAGGGCAGGAGGCACCATCAGGCTCCCAGGCGTCCTCCTAAGTGAAAAGGGGCGTGGAGAACCTACTTTTCCGGGTATTACTTTGGGAGAAGGGGTGTGGGGGGGAAATACATATATAGTCTGAAATTTTTGAGTGTGGAGGCCAGGGCATGGTTTTGTAGACCTAGATAGTCAACAGAACTCTTAACCACGGAGGACTGGCTCTTTCACGTAATTCTAGATAGAAGGCAAACTAGTGGAGATTCTGGTGTCCCGTTTAAAATTTGTCAACTTGCGTGGGACTCGGGGGAGCTGGGCGCCCGATCGGGATAGGACGAGGCATTGGCCGCTGGCGTTCGGGCACACTTCGGTGGGTGTGAAAGGGGATCAGGGTGGAGGCTGGGAGGTGAGAACTAACAGACAGGATGGCAGACTGCTCTTCACAAGAGATGGCATTGTTCTGTTGCCCCCTGTTCTTGCTAGCGCGGCCCTTCCCCTCCCTCTGGTCCCATTAAAAAAGTGTCCACAATACTCTGATACTGTGGGTCCCCTGAAACGGCCAGAAGACCCCTAGGATCACGGAGCGAGGACCAGCGACGGGAACTTAATCTGAAAGAGAAGAAAGCCTAGCCGCTCTCACCCCGGTCTTCGCGGCCCGCCAGCCTCTGTTTCCCCACCTCTCTGCCGCCTTGCCGGAGATCATTGGGGCTTCAGTCTAGACACCCAGAGCAGCGGCCCGGCAGCAGCAGGCCCGCCTCCCTCCACTCTGCCGGTTCCACGTGGAGCTTTAGCCCAGTCTGGAGGGAAGGCTGAGAAGAAACTGGGGGGAAAGGGTTATCGGAGGAAGAGAAGAAAGGAATGAATACAGGATGAGAGGGCGACTTAGGAAGGAGGGAAGGAAGGAAGTGAAAGAGGAAGGAAGGGAAGAAGAAGGAATGCAGAGAAGGAGGAAAACCACCCTGGTGGAGCAATCTAACTTCCTGTACCAAAGCTTCGCCTGCCTTCGGAGGCTCCTGGGGTCTCCTCTTCCATGAAACTCAAGCCTCCACTGTTTCCCCATCCTTTTTTTTCTCTCTCTCTCTCTCAGGGTCAAAATAATGTTATTTGCAGACTGGACGCTTTTAAGGTCCTCTGGGTACCAGAATACAGCTCATAAAACACAATTTCACACAAAAAACGAAGCCAATCAAGTGGAGAAAACTAAGCTGAAGAAACACTCCTCCCGCCCCCCATTTTGGCAGCCCTACCTGACAGCAGGGCGGCTATTTACTGTAAGTAATGTAATTAGCCCCTTTGGATGGAAATCAATGAGCTCTTCAAACCCACGTGCACACACCAAGGGCCCCAAGGAGGGACTGGGGGCAGGGGCCCTTTCCGAGACAGCAGGTCCTCTTACAAAGGGGCAGATTGCCTTCATACAAGTCAGCAGTTAAACTGACTCCGGGGGCCCAAGGAGGAGGAGAAAGGGGGGGGGTATCCAAAGAACTACTCAATTAACCCAAGGAGACGCGAAGCACCAAGTAAATACAAGACTGTGGTCCACTTTGCTTAGTCCCCCCCCCCCCAACACATCCTTCCTCACTTTCAAATAGGGGTGTTTGGAATTGGCTTTGGCTATTGGATTTTGGTCCTGAACTCTTCAGCAAGAACATTAAAAACAAAAACAAACAAACAAAACAAAACACACAAAGAAAACAGGACTTCGTGAAAGGAAAGTTTAAAAACACCTCTTAGAAAAAGCCATTAGCTTTGGGAAGAGTCCCTAGGGAAGCTGGTCAATGACATCTGGTCAGCTGTCCTTCATTCACCCCTTCATCCAATCCACTTCCTGCCTACATATCTTTAAAGCATCTATAAGGGCGAGCCAGGCAGACTATGTCCTGCCCTCAGCACCCTAGCTGAAACCGAGCTAGAACTGCTCTTTCTTATAAAATTCAGGTTATAAGTTCCAGTGCCCACGGGGATTGGCCACTTTCACAAAGACGTGAACTGCCAAGATTTTTTTTTCTTGCTCTGAGAATGCAGGAAGTCTTTGGAAAGGTGGAAACGGGGCAGGGTCTGCTGGAGTTTGGGAGGTCCCCGTTAGTTTTGGGGGAAATAGCTCCCCATAGGTCCAGCCTACCCTCCTCTCACAGTTCCCCAAAAAGAAGCCCTGAAGGAGTAGAGAGGTGAAAAATAGCCTAAGACTTAGCTGTGTCACACAGGAGTGTGCTAACCTTTTGTCTAGGACTATAAGTGACTGAAATAGGGAACGCATCCTGGCAACTTTGCCAGGTGAAAGCGCTCCTTTTACCCAGGAAGTGTTTCCCTTTCTCCCAACTCCAGGCTGAATGGTTGGCACATGTTCCATAAAAAGTTAGAGCACTAGCAAGATCAAGTCCAGAGACTAAGACTTCACCTCCATTAACGGGGCAGGTGCATGGCGTGGGGGCTCTCTTGCTCACACTCCCAGTAGGATCTGGAGTCTTCTTTCTAAGTCCAAAGTAGTCCTAGAGATATGGGGGCAGAACCCTGGCCTGCCACTGCTGCCCACTCCCACCCCCCAGCATAGGCAATCTAATGTGCTCTTTTCTGTGCTATGGCTATCCGTGGGGCTATTGTTACGACTCGCAGCAGAGTGGGACTCTGGATTCTAAAGAGACAGAAGATTTTAGATTTAGAGTACCAGATGACATTATTTCCAGAGGAGACTAAAGGGCCGTTGTCTAGGCTCTGGCAGTCTCACCTGGGAAAAGGTCTCTGGCTTACAGAGGCTAGAAGGGGGAAAGTGGAGATGTCCTGTATTGCTCAAATGGTTGCATAGCTTTAGGATGAAGAACAGAAAATAATCCAGCAAATGGCTCATCATTTAGCTTTAAGAGACTCAAGGTCTCTTTAGACCTGGATTTTGGTGACCATAATCTAATGCTCACAAGTTTGACCCTGAACGTTAGTTAGGCCATTCCTTCAGATCCTCAGAATACTCTTGTTTGGAAAGGCAAAACTCTGGAGATCTTGTCTAGATTTTGGTGGGTGTGGGTGTGTGTGTGTGTGTGTGTGTGTGTGTGTGTGTGTGTGTGTGTGTTGGGGAGGGGTGTATCTCAACAGCCAAGAGAAGTCAGAGGTGTTATGGAGCTAGGAGCCCTGCTTTCCTTGGTGGCGCCATCCGGCCTTGGATGCCCAGGCTCCTCCGGCTAGTCCCCAGATCTTTCTCTGAACAGCCCAGACAGATCTTTGGATGAGCAAACCTTTCCCACAATGATGCTAGCAGGTCCAGTCTGCCTCTGCTTCAGAGAGCACCTCTGATTCCGTCCTATCAGTTAAGTTTGTCTCAAGACAAATGCAAGTGAGCCTTCAGGGTTGTGGCCGCAGGAGCCCTGGGAGATGCTGCTCTGGCTGCCACCGCAGGCCAGCTGCTGCACCCGCACCCTTGCCTGCTGCTCTCAGGGACATACGTCTATTTCGGGTCAGGGCCGGGCAAGTCTACACCCTGGGAGTGCTCGAACACCTGCGGCCTCCAAAACCCAGGTCAACTGCTTGCTGTCTTCAAACCTGTGTTCTTGAATCTTGCTCCCCCCACACCTCCAACAGGGCTGCCATCTCGTCTAGAATATCGAGCTTCTGAAACTTGAAGCCCCTATACCAGAAGCTGGCTGTGCCACAACAAACAATAAACGCTAGGCAGCGCAAGGGATTGGGGATGAACAACAAGGAGATGTGAATAAAGCCAATTGCCATTCAAGCCTTACAAGGTACTTGCTTTCAGCAAGGTGAAGCCCCAGCAGCTCCGCCGAGGGTCGCGAGTCCCTCGTGCCTGTGCTTTTCCAGGCCCAAGACACTCTGACCTCTGCCCAGAGCCTTGACCCTAGACTCCAAGAAAGTCTACGGCGGCGTTCAAGAAAAGAGCCAAAGCGCGCGCGGCGAGGGGATGGGCGGAGGGGGTGGGTTCCGGGAAGTCCTGAGCCAAAATGTTTTCCAGCCTCCAAAGCAAAGCTCAATTTTAAGACAATTATGATCCTTCCACTCAATGAAGGCATACTCATTCTCTCTCTCTCTCTCTCTCTCTCTCTCTCTCTCTCTCTCTCTCTCTCTCTCTCCTCCCTCTGGAACACAAGCGGGCCCAAAAATACAGTGGCAAGGAAAATACAGGGGGACCTGGCGAGAACTCACCTGCCTCCAAAGTGGTGCCGTTCAGCATCCTTACTGCGAGAGGAGGGTGGTCGATTGCGCGGTTAACTGCGGTTGTACTGTCAGAAGAAGAAAACCTGGTGTGTCAGCTAGACATTACTGCCCGGGCTCCCCTAAGAACCTCCTTCCCTTGGTGGGGCCGGTGTCAACCTCTTCTCTGCTGAGATTCGGGGACCCACGCAGTTATGGCCAAGCTGAGCTTCCTTTCCAGAGCTCCAGAGCTCGGAGCGGTCCCCCCACCCACTCCAGGGATAGAAAAGCACCCCCCACTACACGGAACCTAAGGGGATGTTACCTTGATGTCCCGGTGTCAGATGATCCTCTCATGAACTTGGTTCTTGGAGAGGTGGTGGCCAGAGGTGGCGGTCAGGGGCGCGGACCAGTCCCCGCGTCGCACTCTGTTAATCAAATAAATAAGCCAGTGAATGAACATAATCTCTCTCTCTCTCTCTCTCTCTCTCTCTCTCTCTCTCTCTCTCTCTCTCTCTCTCTCCTCCCTTCCTCTTTTCCTCCCTCCCTTTCTCCCTCCTTCCCTCTTTCCCTTTTCTTCTCCCTTCTCTCCCCAGTAATGACCTGAATCTCTCACCTCTGACCTTCAGCCTCCTCCACCTGTCTTTTATTTTCTGTTTATGCTTTCTCAAATCGGAAAAGGCGGGGGTGGGGGGATGGCAGAGGGCTCAGCCTCCGGCCAGTGCCCCAACACCCTTTCTGAGGCCACGCTCAGCCCTGCCAGCCTCTCAATAATCCGAGGAGGTGTTAATGGAAGACTTGGCGGCAAGGGAACCTCATAAAGCCACGAGCATCCCGAGACTTGGGCGCAGCCGGGGGGGGGGGGGGGGGTGAGGGCTGGAGCCCCGCAGTGCACCCTGGGCTCCCGGACCCCCAGCCTGCCTTTGCCTTGCTGAAGCTGGTACCTAAAAGATGCTGCCGCCAGCTGGTGCCTGCTGCATAGACGGTGAATGGATGGTAGCTCCTGGGGAAACTGGGCTAAGCTATTGATTGCTCACACACGGTCCCCGCCTTCTTCCTACCCTTCGCTCAGCATCGGTGCTCCTAAGCTCCGCATTGGAAAGCGGGTTGGAGCAAGTTGGAGAGCGTTCTGCGCTGGAGGGCCGCCTTTGTGACCGGTCTGCCAGGGGGCCCAGGACACCTGTCCCTTTTGAGTCCCTACTAAAGAGCGACGGCTGAGATTCACCTTCTAGAAGGAAATCTGCACTCAAACTCGGGCGCTCAAAAAAGGCTATCGCAGGGATGCTGTGGGACCCGGGACCCGGCGGGGACACTGTTACCTGGTCCAGGTTCCGCTAGGACTGCGTGGCCCCGGGTTCCCTTCCAGCCGCTGGTAGAGGAGAATCGGAAGCCAGACCTCTGCCAATTATTTACCCCACTCCCCACCCAGGGCGCCCCTCGCAGTCGGAGATGGGGAGGCGGGGGATTAGCCTGGGCTCCCGCGCCAGTGGGGAAGGAGGTGTGAGCCGAGAGATTGGCAGCTCCGGAACGCCGGTCAGCGCCGGCGCCGCCCTCCCCCACCCGTCTGCTCCCCAAAGCCCGGGCGGTCTTAGCGGTTCCTTGACTTGGCATGGGCCAAGGGCGGGGTAGGCTGAAGGCATTTGTGTGCCTGGAAACCACCAACGAAAATTGCGGACTTGTGCGAGGATGGAAGCCAACCGGTCCCGCAATCTCTCCACAGTTTGGGGGCTTTAAGGAATGGCTCAGGAATGGTGTATCCAACACCACCGCCCCGCTCTTCCGCGTGCTCACTCTGCACCCTACACCACAGGGTGCCCTAGGGACTGACTGTGCCCAGTGTTCCATGGGACCACTAGACTTCGTGTACTAGTCCCTCGGGCCAATCAGTCAATCAGTCCCACCCGTTTATCGAACCGGACCTTCCCAGGCTCACCCCGTCCTATTCAGCTTTTTTTTTTTTTTTTTTTTTTTGTATGCATGCTTCTTTAAGTTCCTGGTAGAATTCACCAGCACCGCCATCTGGTCTTGGGTTTTTTTCCTAGTGTACCCTCCTGGTGGGGACAAGACTCTTGGGTCCAGCTTTATACTCATAAGTGAAGGAGCACTAGAAACTCTTCGGTGTTCTGTCCTATGCAGCGCCTTTTAATTTCTTCGGGTACCCGTTTCAGGTATTTGATAAGGATATTATATATACATGATGTGTGTGTGTGTGTGTGTGTGTGTGTGTGTGTGTGTGTGTGTGTG